GAACCCAGTTTACATTATTGGACATTAAACCACCAACACGTACGTAGAGTGAGAAAAAAAGAAAATATTGCGGCTGTATCCGCCAGTGTTCGTGATGACCGTGAAATGTCGATTAGCCGCCGTTCGCGGCAATTGGGCCTCTGTTACTCCACTACGTGGAAAATTTTGCGAAAGGATTTGGGTGTAAAACCTGCGACCTCCCACAACGTCTATCATTTGGTGAATGGGCGCTGGCAAAGTTGGAGGAAGATCCACATTTTTATCGAAAAATTGTGTTCAGCGACGAGGCTCATTTCTGGTTGAATGGATACGTTAACAAGCAATATTGCCGCATCTGGAATGAAGACCAGCCACAAGCATTGCAAGAGCTACCGATGCATTCCGAAAAAGTCACTGTTTGGTGTGGATTATGGGTCGGTGGCATCATCGGGCCGTACTTCTTCAAAGACGACACTAGCCGGAACGTTACTATGAATGGCGAGCGCTACCGTGTGATTATTGACGACTTTTTGTTGCCGAAAATGAAAGAATTGGACTTGCCTGACATGTGGTTTCAACAAGACAGTGCCACATGCCACACGGCACGCGAAACAATGGCCCAATTAAGATCCGCCTTCGGAGAACAGTTTATAAAAGTAAACAACAGACTGTTTAGAATTGGACCTTTGTTGTTATTCATAGACACATACCATTCTACATTTTTCTAATTCTAAACTTCTGAAGACATCTAAAAACCTGTTGCCATGTACGGGTCTTGGTCATTTCAAGATTTCTCACTTATTCAGTGACCGTTCTCTAAGATTTTTGAGCGACACTATATTTTTCTGGTCTCTGAAGCCGAATATGTGAAATATGTTCTTTGTAGCGAGTCACTACGGTCCGCCAAGTTTGACCAACATACTGTCAATTGCAATCCGCACAGCTTATTTCGTGAGGAATGCGATTAAAAGTATGTTGGTCAAACCAAGCGGACTACAGTAACTTGTTGCAAGGAACATCAGTTACAGAATAACGAGGAACGCTTGAAATTATTCCAAACACCCTGTTGTTTATTTTATTACATAAAATATTTGGTATCATAAGTGGTGATCAGTATTATATGATAAGTAAAACAATAACTAATGCCAAGGATTCACTATTGATCCTCATCTGAATAACTCATAATCGAAGGTAATTGGTTCTCCCAGTTGCAAATAACACCTCTCAAGTTAGTTATGAAGTCATCTCCTGATGATGCCAACTTGGTTAGCGAAAAAAAGCGCATTTAGGAAAGATCTTCAACGTCTTATTGGCTCACCCTGTGTATATTTAATGAATAGCAAGGTGTAAAACAAACTGATTTCGCTCCACTATTGTGCAAAACATTTTTATATACATGAATAATACAGATAAAATCCAAATGACGTAATACAATTTTTTTTAAACCTCTAAAACTGTAACTCATCATAAAATATATAAAACTTAATAGTTCAAATGATGGCACCTCAATTCAAACAGATATAGATATAGACATAAAACCAAAATATGCATAATTCTTCAACAAAACAACAAATATATTTTTATTTGGGTCTTGTTTTACAAGCAATCGAAATAACATCTGATTTGCGATCTTGACTAACAGTACAGTATATCTAAAACGAATAGAAACCCCTCTTGATTTACTTATAGGAACTCCAAATACTAACAAAAAAGCCAACTTTTAAAGAAATATGGGCGTACCTTCAAAGTATAATCATACACAATTAACAGCACATTTGCAGATGATACGTCTCCAAGCCATAAAATTCATTGACCGAAGTTCTTTCATATCTGAACTCCCTTAACACAAAAATACAATTCACGATGGAACACGATTGGGTTATGAATGCCTTGTTTCTGAGCTCGGATTTCATCAAATCTGAATGTGTATATATGCCAAGATAAATCAGTTATAGGGAAAATATAACCTTCATTAATTTTTTTTTTGAGAAAAAATAATATGGTGCCATTAAAAAAGGATACCTTAGTATGCACCTGACTGAGTATAAATACATCTAAATAAGTCAAGATGAATCCTTTATATGGAAAATATAACCTTTACTAAATAGAATTTCTTTTCTTTTCTTTTGAGAAAAAATAATATAGTGCAATTAAAAAAGGGATGCCTTAATATACACCTGACTGTGTATATATGCATCTGAATGTGTATATATGTTAAGATGACTCCATTATTTGGAAAATATAACCTTTACTGAATATAATTCATTTTATTTTCTTTTGAGAAAAAATAATATAGTGCAATTAAAAAAGGAGTACCTTAATATGCATCTGACTATGTATATATGCATCTGAATGTGTATATATGTTAAGATGACTCCATTATATGGAAAATATAACCTTTACTGAATATAATTCATTTTATTTTCTTTTGAGAAAAAATGATATAGTGCAATTAAAAAAGGGGTACCTGAATTGTATATATGTATGTGTATATATGCGTCTGAATGTGTATATATGTTAAGATGAATCCATTATATGGAAAATATAACCTTTACTAAATGGAATTTGTTTTATTTTCTTTTGAGAAAAAAAAATAGTGCAACTAAAAAAAGAGTACCATAATATGCATCTGACTGTGTATAAATGCATCTGAATGTGTATAAATGCATCTGAATGTGTATATATGCCAAGATGAATCCATTATGTGGAAAATGAAACTTTTTATTTTATTGTGAGCTTGGTTAGTTCTATTGAAACACAGAGGTCCACATTCTGTACTGCACCAAAAAGAGATAGATAACATCTTATAAGGACATATGCTTTACCTTTTATCCTCACGTTTTATGGATGACATAGAGACGTATTATCGACGAATATACTGTAACACTGTATATGTATTACGAAGCAAAATGTTTTTAGGGCCAATATTGTTTTGTGAATAAAAAGTGTTACAGTGAATATTTGGCAGACAATGACTGAAGACATAAAAGTGTTTACGAGAAATTAAACAGGGGTTTTTATCCATCTTGTCAACTCTAGAAGATAAATGAAACGAAAGGTGAAATAATAAAAAGTATGTTTACTGAAAACATATTAATATGTGAAACAAATGATAAATCTAGGATCTTGGTATGAAATTTCGAATTTGTTGAAATATCAGGCGAATGACAAGTTGAACGAGTTACTGTTTCATAAAAAAATATGTGGTGTAGTTAGACATATATGTGATAGAAACTTAACACGTCTCAACTTTGTTATTATTTATCTAAGCTTGATCGATTTTTTTGAAAAATGTACACGAATGAACTAAAAATTTTTTGGTAAGTACATCGAAAATCAAGTTCAATTTTGCCACATCTTATTCCAATGAGAATGTTCCCTTTGGCACTTGAATATTCTCCATGGTTTTGAATATGAGAAAAAAAAGTTTTTCCGTGATTTTAAGAAAGTTGTTTTTTGGTAAACAACTATTGAAATGCTACATTATTTTTGTTGAACGTTGTCTGAATACTAAAATACATATCACAAACCTTTTAATCTAAAATGAAACATCAATTCGCTTGAAATTGTGGCTTCTTATAGGGGTTTTAACATTTCTCTCAGTTTTGCAATTCCCAAATAGTTTTTTAATGTTGAAAAATATTTATCAAACGAATGGAAAAACATAGAAACTCCAGTCGTTATGTTTGCAAAGCTACTGTGTTTTGCTCACCTTCAAACATTCGAGAAACTTAAAACACGTTGTACCTTGATTTCATATTTCGATATCAAAATTGCACCTCGACAAAAATCAATGCCTCTGACACTTCATACAAAGATCCCCGAATCTCAACACGAACACGTAACATCTCAAAATCTACCTACTGTATCTTTCAGAGTTGAAATCGTGCAAGAACACACATTTTTACACATTATTGTATTACATATCGCCCATATAATTAATCCTAGGAAAAACGGATGCCAAATCGACGATACAAAATTCATTCCTACTCTCTAATAAGGTTCACCTACTATTCTACAATACGAACAGTAAAGTTTACTTTCATTTTGAATGAAAATTAGGTTAAGAACCTCCAAAAATTCGTTAGTAAATTTAAAACAGTCGATTGCAGACCGTTTTCAGTCTTTGATATAATAATTGTTGTTCTTGTGCAACACCCGAAGAAAAACCCCAGATTAAGACTCAGGACCGCCAACATAACCTCAAAAACTACCGCCATTTTTTAGAAAATACAATTTATTAGTCTATTGCGCCTTAAGCGAAGCAAAGACCATAAAAAAGAGAAGAAGAACACCTTATAAAAAGTTTATATTCCAAAGACCCTGAAAAAAGAGAAGAAGAACGCTTTATAGAACGTCAGGTAGTGGAATGACAGTAGTTATAATGCTATTTTGAACCCTGAATCTTCACCTGAAGCCTAACAATCAAAATATTTCATTAATTACCTCTCGACCTCGTATACAGGGGTTGGAGAAAAAGTACAAAAGACGGAAAGTACACCAGCATTTAAAACGTTTTCGTTAGTCAAACAAGGAAAGTATTCGAAAAGTGGTGAAAAAGATGAAGAAAATGTATTGTTCCTCGAAAAAGTCTAGGAAAAGTCGATTACACGCGGAAGACATTATCCAAAAAAGTGCAAAGAATACTGGTATTTATCGTTGATTTCAATATCGCGTTATCTGTTTATATGTATCAGATTTTGCTTGAATACCGGAAAAATCTGATTCAATAATATTTAAATTTTTAATTCAGAAGGCTAGAATTGTTCATAGAATGACTTTTTCTGGTATACAAAGAAATGGAGTTCATTCAGAGAGCTCAAAAACCGGCTATAATTAAAAAAAAAATAGTTCAGAAGAACGAGTATTTCTTAAATTTCAGATTAAGGCTCGAGTAGTGATTTTTCAAAATTCATGTGGTTGAGACGTTGTTCAAATTTGTTTGGAAACTCCTTAAAATTGACTTCCTCATTTATCGTTACACATTTTACAAAAATGTCAGCACAAAATAAAAAAATCTCTCAACTGTACACATTTTATTACATAATATTAATAAAAGAGCACTAAAACCTAGAATGGATCGTTCGCGCATAATCAACGCTTTCCTCTGACCTGTCTCAAGTTTTTATGGTTGGCAATAATATGCCGACAGGCCCCCACGATCACCGATGATAATTCACATCGTATATATCAAGAAATTGTTCGAAGATGTAGTAAAAAAAATGCTCAGACGTATCAGCAGACATATTTACTAATTTTTTCAGAGTTGGCAGTGAACCCCTGAAACAAAAAGGAAACCTAAATGGTAACTAAAAGATTTTTGTCTATAATCGGGAAAAAAATATCGCTCCCGTAAACAAAACACATATGAATGATCTGCGAAAAATGTGATTTCACCACTGATGTCAACATGGACTGAGTCTTTGACACTGGTCCCAAAATGGACTATCGTTTCGATAGTCTCATTAATTTGACATCTCAGTTCTCGTTCAATTTTGTAACACTGCCACCAGAACCAAGGTTAAAGTACCCTTGTCAAAATATCATTTAGTTTAAGAAACAACTATGTTCATAACACTGATTTATTCATGGAAACGAATGAAAGTGGCAAATGAATAAAGATAGACAGATTGTGAATGTGAAAATAATGAGCCTTTTCTGATTTGAGTTTCTGAAATAGTTTTTTTTTACTTTTGCATGGTCGTATCTTTGAAAGTAAACCCGAGTGTCCGTCTTCAGATTCATAATCAACCGAAAACCCGTCTGTCAAATTAAATTTTTATTCAAAACTTGAGCGGGCTGGAAAATTCTTCTGGATCAATTTCAATCTTCCATGTTACTCTACTTACTCTATAGACGTTTCACGCAAATGATCAAGGTCACAGTCGTTGTTGTAGTTCGTTGTGCCCACCTGTAGGGGTCTCTGCCACAAACTACTTTAAGTGGTTTGTGGTCTCTGCAGAGATTATAGGTTATGTCGATTGTTGACATTTTTCCTTTGAAAGGAATTTGATACGAATTATTTTTATCAATGTTCTCCGATCAGTTAGTTTGAATCTCATATAAACATATCTATCCAGCGTTATTACATTCTTACATTTAATATTTTTTCATTACTCTTAGTGAACTTCGTTTTCAACTATGTCGTGTAGGAAATGCTGCATTTCAAAGTGTTCAGCATCTGCACCGCTACACAAATTTACAAATCCTGGAAAATATCTAGAACAATTCAGAATATGGGTGCAGCTATCAATGATGGGGATATCAATGAAATGGACTCAGTAATGGTGTATCGCTCTAAAAGAGTTTGTCATAAACATTTCGAGGCTAAATACCATTCATTGATGTCGAGTAGACTTCAACCAATGGCTGTGCCTACATTATATTTAAGAGGTTAGAGAAACATTTCCATTCAATTCTTGAACGCCCATATAATAAAACAATTAAGGTCAAATTATTCTTCTCATCATTAACAGTCAGTTCTGACATCTCAATCCTCAAATTAGCGTGACTTCTGAGATGCATAAAAATTTCAATTTGGATATATCATTGCCACAATTATTTTGAACCTTCGTATAAGCAGTTTTTAATAAGTTTGCCTACTATTTTATTTTCATACGAAATTGATCTATTTGATTCAGATGAGCCGTCAACTCCTTCAGCCATGCCATTGACATTGGTTTTGGAACCGGATTCACTTAATGGTATGTACTTACTGGTTTGTAATAGTTTAGGTGCTTGATATTATATTATTGTTTTATTTGATTAACCTGTTTTATTTACTATGCCAAACTTTATAACTTTACAATTATTTACCCTTCATATACGAATTATGTTTTACTCCCACCTTGAAAAATTCATTATTGCATGAACTGTTACATATGCATATCATTTCCATCTTGCTATTGGAATCAACTGTAGCAATGACTTTATTTTGATTTCAGTAGCAAATTAGAATATTTATCGTTTGTTTGAAGGTGATTGACAATGTTTCATGATGAATTTCAGTCCGCAAGATGAGGGACTGCCAATGGGATCGCCACTTTCAGCAGTCATATTCAACATATATATGGAGTGGTTTGAAACTCTGCCCATTGAAGAAGCCCACAAGAAACCCCGAGTCTGGTTGAGATATGTTGACGACACCTTCATAATATGGAACCATGGGAATACTGAAATAGACGCCTTCCTGAAACACATCAACAGCGTGAGACAATCCACAACGAATTGCCATTCTTAGACGTTTTGGTGAAGAGGACCAAGTGGGAAACATCTGTATACCGAAAACCCACTCATACGGGACAGTATCTGAACCACGAATCCAACCACCATCAATCGACTAAAAGAGGGCTCTATAATACGAAGGAAGGTCTCGAGAAGGAACTAGACATCATCAAAAATTATCTTCAACGGAATGGCTACTCCAAAGCGATGGTAGAAAAGACTTTGGCTAGAAGACAGCAGGAGCCTCGCAAGGAAGAGAAGTCGTCACAACCAGAGCTTGCACTTCCCTACATCAAAGGATTATCGGAGAGGATAAGAAGAATTGGTTCCAAGTACAACATCAGAACCTGTTTCAGATCCGGTAACACTATCCGTAGCAGCCTCACGAAAACCAGGCCACCAAACGCGGACTGCGATTCCAAGAATTGCATTTACCGGATACCCTGTGAGTGCGGAAAATCCTATATTGGTGAAACTAAGAGGCCATTGAATGTTCGCATTGCCGAGCACAGGAAGCACACACAGCGAGGGGAAACCAGCAAATCAGGAATAGCAGACCATGTTTGGACCCATCAACACAACATCGAGTGGTCCCAAGCTGAGATCTTGCACAGAGAGGAACATTGGTTTAGGAGAAAATTCAAGGAAGCCGCATACATGTTGTCCAACAACGTATTCAGCCAGGCCAGCGTAGAAATACGCAACATATGGAAACCCATAATCAAGCGAAAAATGGCCAACTCCCGCCAAAACGGTCATCCCCCACGGAACCAGTGAAGCGGAAAATGGAAAGCAGGGATAAGTGAAAGTATTTGAACGACCTATAAATAGTCATCTCTCGTAGGAGTCAGTCCAGTCATCACCCGAAGACGATTGTAGATACTAACAATCGAAACGTCGTGAACTAACGTGACTTGGAATCTCTACACTTTTCATTTTCTTTTTCCATTCCTTTAATTTTATTTTGTTTTTATTTATTCAATTGTTATATTTTTACTTGTAGCTTATTTCACTATTATTTCATTTCAGGTTTATTTTGCTTAATATAATTGTTATTCACAGCTATTTATTTTTAATCCTTCCTTTTTTAGTTGTTTCAGGGATTTCAAATCATTTTATAGAGTAGACAATGGAAGTCCGAACTAGTGAAATTAGAATATTTATATTCTACTATGAGATTGGAACCTTTGATGAACAGTTGAAACTTTTCTTAGAGATCAATTACCCTAACACCAAACTGATATGTTTTGTACTCGATGCGTGGTTCACTAACAAGGTTAGCATCTTCATCTATCAATTCATACTGTATCAATTTTCTTCTCCTGAAGATGCTAACCTTGTTAGCGAAACGCGCGTCGAGTGCAAAATATATCAGTTTAGTGTTAGGGTAATTGATTTCTAGGAAAAGTTTCAATGGTTGCGTTTAAGTTTCCCGCTTATTTGTTTAGTTCCGATTCAAAGTTATAGGGGGAGCTGAAAATCGTTGCCAGCTGACAGCGTTGTCGTCAACTACGCATGCTCATAATTTGACAAATTATTGCTGCGACCTCTACAGGTGGGAACAACGAACTACAAAAGCATCTGCGACCAATACCATTGCCGTGAAGCGTCTATAGAGTAAGTGGTTTGTGGCTCCACCTCAAATTTCTTTTCTTAGAAATTCATAAACTCTTAGCACTTCTGTTGAGAGAAATATACATAAAGTTTTTTCCAATCTTCAAACCGACAACATGGCCTACTCAAAATTGAAAACACTAATAGTCGAAGTACCGTATTGAATGAAATATAGTGTTTCCAGTCTTCGTTTGATGCTATCTTCAGACTTACCGTTATTATGAGCGATGATCTAATCTGAAATTGTCTTCGATATTCTCCGATATGCCCATCGAAGAATTCGTCAACAGTTGGAACGCTTCCAGATCTAGAGACCCCAGCCCTTCTTTCAGCGACTCCTCGGAAAACAATTCCGACACCAACTGCCTTGACCCGTCGTCGCCTGAAAAGTCTACGAAAAAGAAAGAGAACACATGAAAATCCATCAAACAACTCGCAAAAAAAAGTGATTCAGAATTTATATTGTGAATGATGCAACAAATTTTCCTTTACTTTCAGTATTTTAATATTAAATTTCACAAAAAGGATTTGAAGCTTTATATCTTCTATTAATTATATGCGAGCGCTTTCGACAGCTGGTCGTACTGTCATCTTCTAGGCACTCCTCAAACTGAACTTGTCATCCTGTCGTCTGCCTCTTTATACGGTCAGAGCGTCTTAACTCAGGTATTTCAGGTACTTTAGGTAAATTTGCCTGTATTTGTACTGCATCAGGTACTATTCTTTGTGTTAGATCTTCTCTAGGAATGTGTATGGTTTTGTTTAATATATTGAATGTGAGGTCTTGTTGTGTTTTGATTTGTACTTGTTCCTCGATAAGTGATTTATGACTGTTAAATTTATGGAGGTTCAAGTTTTCCCAAATGTCCATGCGGTTTTCCTTGTTGACTTAATTTATGAGTTTTATGTTCTCTGGTGGGGGAAAATTATGTTTGTTTTGTATGGCGTGTGTTGCGAGGTTTGATTTATATACTATTGGATTTATGTATGCCTTTTTGTGCTCATTGTACCTTTGGATTAGTTTTTTCTTGGTTTGGCCGATATAGAATTTGTTGCAGTCCGAGCATTGTATACTGTAAATCCCGTTTTGGTCTTTGTCTTCTTCTTTTTCATAGTTGTTTATTTTTTGTGTTATCTTCGTGTTTGGCTTGTATGTGATGTTCAGTGGTTTGAAGACGTTTGTTAGTTTTTTGGTGTCCTACGTACGTAAATGCTGTCCATCGTTGTGTTGTTTTGTCTGTTGGGGTGGCTTGATCCTTGTTCTGTATTTTTTCTTTGATTCTGTTTTCTAGTTTATCTATTGTCTTTTAGGTGTATCCGTTTTCGTTCGCTATTTAGTATATGACTTTCCGTTCTTTGTTTCGGGCTTCATTGCTGAGTGGTATCCTCAACATTCTATATATGAATGCGTTATAGGCAGCCATTTTGTGTGATGGTGGATGGTTTGAACTTGCGGGTATGGTGGAGCTTGTTTGTGTAGGTTTCCTGTATATTGATTGCCATTTGAAATTGTGTTTTGTTGTGGTTATATCCTATGGTTATGTCCAGGTAGTTAAGTTGTGAGTTGTTGGAGATCAACCTCACAGCAGTTAAAGCTGACAAAAGTGACGCCACAGTTATTAATGAAAAACAGGAATTAAGTATGAAAGTGAACAATTATATAACGGAAAACGATTTTAGCACGATGAATCACGATCCAACAACATATATTCATTCGGTATATGAAATAGTTTCTGTTGATTCTTTCAGTCTATAATGTCATGTTTTGAAGTATTGTTGAAGTGCAGTACTAAATTCCAAGCATTACAAAAGATTGAGTTTCAAACCTTCTTTTCCCAAATGTAACACGTAATGTCCATGGTTGAACGAATGTCCTCTGCCAACAGATGATTTACAAATGTGGAATTGATCTTCACATTCAACAAACTACGCATATGCTCTTATATTCGTTGAGAAAAATTTCTCCCAGTTGACCCAATATAAAGTTTTGGGCAACAAGTTTCAAAATATATCAATCCAACCTCTCAACATCAAAATAAACAGGTGCACCCCACGGCCCAGTATCCGGTCCCTTCTCCGACCCAATAAAAGCTGAAAATCGTCGATTATTGCTTACCTGTGAGTATGATTTCAGGCAGACCTGGAGAGGTGTTCGGTGTGGCGTGTTGTCCTGGAGATGCGGACGGATAGACGAGTTGCGGGGAAGTGCTGTAGTAGCCCGCGTCGGGGATCATGTCGATGTTGGCTACGCAAGTCGCATCGCCCATCGTCTGTTGGGGCAGCGACTGCGCCATCTGCTGACCAGTCGACGTCTGATCGAACATGACGTTGTTCGGAGGGTCCATCTGCCGGACAGAAAATAAAAAGTTCTCATTTATGTCTGGGGATAGGGTGAGAATTTAACCTGAAGAGATGGTGCGTGAAAGTATCAATTGCAAAAACAATTTGCCCTACAGTACAAAAATGCTGTCTCTCGGCGAGCGTTTCACTAACCTAGTTAGCATCATCAGGAAATGACTAAAAGGCTTAGTTGAATAATGACGAAGTTTAATGAAAGTGGTTTTTTGTGAGAGAGCCTCGAGGAATATTAAAGGTTTGTGATATCACATGAATACACATTTCAGATACTTGGTGATGTTTTTAAGAATAATCTGTGATAACATGGACTAAAAAAAACGCACTTTCACAGAAATTTTCATAGAAAATTTCCTGCATATGCAATTGGCAATACAACTGAAAGAGTCGACCTTCAATTTTGAAACGGGCACACTTGCAGACCGGTTTCGGGCTCATTAGCCNGAGTGCGAAACTTGGTCACAATCGCTTTAATTGTTTGCTCACTTGGTCGATTATGTAGACCATAAATCGGGCGTAAAGCGCGAAACACATTTCGAACCGAACACTGATTTTGGTAATAAAATTCAATGATTTGCAAGCGTTGCTCGTTAGTAAGTCTATTCATGATGAAATGTCAAAGCATACTGAGCATCTTTCTCTTTGCACCATGTCTGAAATCCCGCGTGATCTGTCAAATACTAATGCATGAAAATCCTAACCTCAAAAAAATCACCCGTTATTTAAACATGGCCAAACACTGCTCAGAATCACCAAGACGTTCTTGTTTTTGGTCTACAGTGAGCACGAGCGGCACCCAATTTGAACCGAGCTTCCTCATAGTTAAATGCTTATACAATATAAACCCAACACGTTTTTTTTGATATCCTTACAATGTCAGCTAACTCACGCAACTTCACTTCTCGATCATTCAAAACGATTTAGTAGATTTTATTATCTTCTCTGGTGTTACCGTCTCATTTGGACGTCCTCTGCGTTCTGCTTCATCGTTGTCTCTACGACCACACTTGAAGTCAGCACACCAAAGTTTAATTGTTGTTTATGATGGAGCGGAGCCACTGCTTCGGTATTTTTTTGTCATCAAGAAGCAGTGTAAAATTAAAACACGAAGGAATCGTCCAAATGGAAGACGTTGCACAGATGCCTGATGGTTTTACTTCGGCTTTCTGCGCGGCATTAGTCGGGTTAGTTGTTTTCCAGTCGGATAACTGCCACGCATACCTACAAAGTCGTAGGTTCACATGAGAGGTGAGGATGAGGCGTTTTCACCTGAACTTGAGCATGTAATATACAGGGCTATTCAAATTCGTTTCTGTACATGAGGATCTCGTAAACGATAAAAGATATAGTGTCGGTTAAATTGTGACAAAGTTGTGTATTTTACAGACCTATTCAATGATGTGAAGAAATCGAATATAGCTCTTTTGGTTCTGGAAATATACGGGAAAAACCAAAAAATCCCAAATTAGTTTTTTGCCTGTATCTTCTTTATTCGCAGACATATTGAAAGTCAGTAATTAGACAGCAGGGCTTCCAAATCAAAACACCGTGTTATTTCTTATGCAGGTTCATTCTGGCAATTTTGGATCATGCGACCAATCAGAGCGCTCCAAATTGTCACGTGACCCAGACGCATCCTCGCGAGTACATCACCCTAGCGCCACCTATGAGTCACTAGCTGAACTATCCATTGGAAGGCGTAGGACGGTACATCTGACAGAGGGGGCTCCGTGGGACGGTAAATGGCGTCCTCTGTCAATACGGATCGGTAAATGGGGCATCTGTCAAATGTCGACGTAGGACGGTACATCAACTTCTGACAGAGGGGGACTCCAGGTGCTCCGTGAAGATGAGGGGGGCAACGCACAGTGCTGCAATTGGGGGCCCCCGGAGTCTTCCTCTGTCAGAAGTTGATGTACCGTCCTACGTCGACATTTGACAGATACCCCATTTACCGATCCGTACTGATAGAAGACGCCATTTACCGTCCTACGGAGCCCCCTCTGTCAGATGTACTGTCCTACGCCTTCCAATAGATAGTTCAGCAAGTGACTCATAGGCGGCGCTAGGGTGATGTACTCGCGAGGATGCGTCTGGGTCACGTGACAATTTGGAGCGCTCTGATTGGTCGCATGATCCAAAATTGCCAGAATGAACCTCCATAAGAAATAACACGGTGTTTTGATTTGGAAGCCCTGCTGTCTAATTACTCCCACCTAATTTTATGGACGTTTTGTTTCTTCTAAAAAGATGTAGTAACTATACCATGCAAAGGAAATCCTACTATTTACAAAAAGTTTTTGGACTGGCAAGTTTTTATTGAGATATTTTATTTGTAAAAATTCGTAATCATAACTCAACATGCCGTGTTTAAAATCTATGTTGTACTTAGAAAAGGATAAAGAAGCAGCATGCCAAATGTCAAAGAGAAACCTAATCTACTATAGAGGTACGTCTGTAACCTCAAGTGAAAAAGCAGAAAAAGTATATATTACCAAACGTGTACAACAGTTTCACATTGATCAACTTCTTTGAATTAATTTTTCGTTAAAGAAATCAATAAAAGCAAAACTGCAAATAGAAAGTTATTCCGCAAGCTAACAATGTAGCCAACTGAATATTATAAACCCAGCAGAAGAGTAACCAAATCAGTGTGTCAAGAAAAAATCATCATGGCGGTTCAGGATCATTATAACATGCATGTTATAAATAAATAATAAGAAATACCTAGCAATTTCTCGCAAATAAATCATCCAATACTGTAAAAAGGGAAACCACGCAAAATAATTCTCACTGAAAAATATCATCTGAAAGATATCGGACGTCAGACACATTTCAGGGGTATTTATGATTCCGAAGGTACCTGTTTTTTATAATTATTGCTTGGAAATATGTGTTACTGTCATGTATTTTGTTTCATATATATTAAATATACCATTCATTTCAAATTTCCCACCAATATCTCCCACCACAAATTTAAAATCACGACACCTTCAGGAAACTTTTCACTCATCTCTATTATCTTCAATTTCGACAAAAATATACAACTCAATTAATTTTTAAGTCTAACTTAGGATTAACCTAACCAAACCACACTAATTTTATTTCTTATTTTTCTTACAGTTCACAATATGGCTTCTGAACAAAAAGGTCTACTACCCAAGCAGCTCACAAACACAAACTAGTGTCCAACATAGTCGAAGTCTTGATAAGGAAAGCCACTCTTCTTCGATTCTATGTGATCTGACAAAGGCTTTTGACTGTATATCTCATACTATTTTGATTGGAAAAAATAGGTTACTTTGGTGTCCGGGGTATAGCTCTCAAGCTTGTTCACTCTCATCTCACAAATAGGTACCAATATTTTGAAGTGAGCAACATCAAGTCAGACGTCAAAGAGATGGAGCAAGGAGTTCCCCAGGGCTCCGTATTAGGTCCACTGTTGTTCTTGATTTATGTCAATGATCTATACAGTTTCATGAAACCAGCATGATGTACCTTGTTTGCGATGTAACAACTTTATTATGCTCTAGCAAAGAGTCAACCAGCTTACAACTAATGACGCGAGATATCAAAACATTAGCATATACCTACTCATAAATAATTTGCTGCTAAAAGCTGGCTCTAAAAGAAAAAAAAGCTCAAAATATAATTGTATCTTCCAATCCCGATATTCATTCAACTAAAAGTACACAGTTTTTAGGATTCGTTATTGATGATAGATTGAGCTGGTCTGATCATATTAAAGCTGTGACCAGCAAATTATCTACTGTTTTGTTTGTTCTGAGACGATTGAATAATGTAGTTAGCTTGATGATGCTCAAAAAGCCTACTATGGATTCTTTCACTCAGTTATGCCATACGGTATTCTGATTTGGGGTCATTCAGGTAACTCCGTTAGTGTTTTTAGGTGCCAGAAAAAGACCATAAGAATAACAGCCAAAGCAGATTACAAAAAGCACTGAAGTCATTTTTTATTCAACTTGGCATTATGCCACATTATATATCTACAAAGTTTTACTAGAGATTCATGAAAACGTAAATAAATTTGAATGAACCTGCCCAGACATAAATTAACAATTAGCGTGAGAAGTTTACTAAATTTACATTTGTTTAATCATCTCCACTTGTTTCTGAAGTCACTAAGCCTTGTAAAATTTAAATCTAGTATTGAAAAGTTACTTCTGAAACACTGTTTTATAACATTGAGGAATAGAATTGACGTGGCAGGGTCTTCAACCTGTGAAAGACCTTATCAAACCACCATTTTATTGGTTTTATATTTGTGCTTTTAATTAACCTACACTCTTTCATTAAAAACGTTTCAAAACGAATTCAGGAACCAGAACAAACCTCATACCACTGAATTGTGTCCGATATCTATTCGCATCACCCTACGAAGAGCAAAATCACCAAAGTAGGCGGCTAAAAAATGTAAGAAACGAAACAAACATTCGCTCCTAATTATTATTTAGTCACCTGCAACTGCGCGCTCCAGGTGCACCCCGAATCCATCAGGCTCGCCACCAATTTTGCCCAGTCCTGACAATACGTGCAAGTTAAAACTCGTGTAATGATAACAAACAAGCTGATGATCAAGTGCGACCCCCCCCCTGTATCCACCTCCGTTTCATCGCTCGCTCATAAAACGAAATATGAACATTAGACAAGAAAAATAACTTACCAGTCCTTGCTTGCGATTGAACAATGGAAAAACAGTCGTTAGATTACCCTTATCAATGTAAATTTATGGAAAAATGTCGCGTAGCGAGAAAAACGGAAGTATTTCTTTTCTAAATCCACTTCAGTCTAGTCAAAATGAACGAAAAAGGTGGTAAGCGCAATAATTCGCTTGGAGCTGGAAATTGGTAGAGGTCTTAAATAAACTATTATAAATAAAGTCCCAACTGATCTCTACGATATTCTCTCATTATTTTTTCAGGAATTTCAAATCAATTTATATTATATTACACAATGGAAGTCCGAACTGATGAAATAAACCAATATCAGTCTAGACTTTCAATGTTTTATTCATAACAGTATATTTAGGACCTGCGCCAATTTTCAGCTCTGTGCAAACCATAGTAAATTGCAATGTCCACTTCGACTGAACTACTTACCATTGATAACTGTCCAAACTGCGGTATATGGAACTCGTTGGGTAAAGGACTCGGAGCTCCGGGGCTACAAGGTGCCGAATGACGCCCCCCGGGGCTCGGTGATGACTGGGGGCTCGGCCTAGGACTCCTGTAGTCGGCCGTTTGCTGTAACTAAGCCAAAAACATATTTCTAATCACCCTGCACCGATGAAATCGAATGTTAAATTGCCAAAATAACATTAATAAATCAAGTTACCGTCGGTGACGTCGAGGTGGGAGGGCCTTGATGGTACCAGCCGTGGAGTTGTTGGAAATTTGACGAATCTACCATGTTGATGACATTCTTATCTAATTGGATGTTCTGAAATGTCGAAGGTAGAATAATTAAAGAATAGAGAAACATATAGTTTTGGGATACTGTCGTGACACGATTGAGGGGGTTGCGATAAACTGGACTAGATTCATACATAACCAATGCCAAACTGTAGATTCGGAAGAAGAATCTACAACCCCCCCAATCACTCGTTGGGCTGTGATTATGTTAAGCTTGCATTATGTACAAACGTAGTACGGCATCCACAGAGGCAGAGCACAGAAAATACAGTCCACATAAATCGATACTCAACATATTCTAAATATAATGAAAGTAAAACAACAAACCTTATTTGTATCTTCTTGGTGCTGGTGATATCTAGCGCTAAATGGTACTGTTAATTGATTCTGCAACAATATCACAAATATCATGCAAAACAAAAAACTAAAGACGTGCAAAACGATAATTTGAGGGTTTATCAAGCAGTTCAACGCACACATACACAACTGAACACTAACACCAAACCACGGAGGTTCCTTTTCATTCCAGTTAGCAGTTTATTCATATTAAAATAAAATCAAATACATCGGATTTCAGTTATCTTGAACTTTTTTCAACAATCTTGTGAACTACGCTTCGCCATCTGAGTTCAGGACTCAACAGACATCACTTTTCAAAGAAGAATCATCCCGATTTGACGATTATGATTTCCTTTGATAAGTCACACCACCCTCCCCAGCAATCTACGTTATTTATCAGATAAAAAAATAATCGTTGGGCGTAACCTGAGTAAATATGTGAATACTACGCCCAAAGATCCCATTATTTATCTGATCAATACTGTAGATTGCTGAGGCGAGTGGTGTGATGACTGCTATCCAGGACCTTCCAAATTATTTTTTAGTTTTTAGTACATTATCTACATAATTATTATCTTTTTTTTTTTCAATAAAACTGTTCAACATTTTTTTTATAACCATTTTATGTTCAAGTTTTCAGTTTCTAATTTTTTTCCACCCTAATCCAACACAGTTCTTGGCAAGTTTTTATCGTTTACCTTAACTTGGCAAGTGTATCGCTAACGACATATCATTTTTAGCCACCTCAATGCCACACAGTCCTCGACACAATACAAAATCTTGGCTTGGGTGGGAGATCTATGCTTGTATCCCGATTCTGAGTTAACAAAGTTCTTTGTATAAATTATATTGGATTTGCATCTTTTCCACAGTATACTACTATCAATCAATCAATCAATCAAAATATGCTTTATTATCAAAGAATAACATCTTGTTGAATATATATAATGGAGTCCTTAACTAGAGTGGAATATGGTAAAGGTAGTTTGATATGGTTACTTTGGCAGGTGGCATATCTACTATCTGTAATGAAATTTTGTTTATGTTTATAAATGAGACACACTGTTTCAAGTATAAATATACACACTACCGTGAGAAGGTTATGTTGCTTGAAGTGAACTCTGCATGAATCGCGAAATTTTAATTTACAGGGGTATCTCAGGGCTCTTTTTCGTAAAACAAAAACACTTTGAAGAACATTTCCACTGCACTACTATACTGCAGTACTATAGTACTAAATTTCTACTACTTGACGGATTGGCTGTCTTTGTTCATCTTTCACTTCCTGAACCACTGTGCCTGCTGTTTTTGGCGAGTGTATTCGCTTGGGATGTGGGGGTTGAGCAAACCCGCAATCGGATGCCTGCTTCCACGTAGCCCCGCTGGATACGGGAATGACAGAATCACTTGTGGTTCTGTTTTTCCCTAAGTGAATGGCATCTCAACGATGGCTTAATCCTGAGGTGTGTGTATGTGTATCCGTGCCGAGAGGATGAATGACACTGAGCTTATCAGTTGTCTCTACGGAACCCTCGAGTGCCCCTGGCGCCCTCTCGTCGTAGCATCGCCTTGTCACGGTAATGCGGGGCTCTGCCATGATTGACCTTCTTTCCCTGGCTACTCGTGGGACTTTTATGGACAGAGTAAATTCTTTCTGACGCTGAGTTTACAGAGGAGATGGATGTCAAGCTTAAGACTCCAACTGACCTCCCTGTAAATTTAGATCAGGAGCGAGAGCTTCTCAACTCTCCAACTCCTGATTCAATAACTGAACCTTAATAAAGGTTTGGTGGTGCAGCCAAGAAGCAAGTGAGTCGTTTCCTCAAGAGCGGGGTACCTTATGAAACCGCATACGCAGAATCTGTCTCAAGTGGAGGAACAAACCCACAATGATCAGGTTAGCAAACGTTCGCGCTCAAGTGATGATTCAACAAAACCAGAGGCGAAAAAGCTGAGCCCGGTTCAAGAGGCTGGGTTTATTTGGTCTAGTGTGAAAAGGTGTGCGGTGGAAGGTCGAACAGACCCACTCCCTTTGGACCTAACCTAACCTAACTATAGTACTAGCCATTTTGTAGTTGCGGCCATCTTGAACTCGCATCTTGTTCAAAGTGGACACTATTCTGCTAGTTAAGCCCTGCCATATGATACTCATATAGAGGTAGTTGTGAAAAAATATGTAACCCGCCATTCTGTAACTGCGACTATCTTAAATTTGCATCTTAATAAAACCTTTTGAAAAAGGACTCACTTTCTTAGTTTATTCCAGGCTAGAACTATCATCTCTAGTTATTTCTTTCATTCAGGTACCATGGTAGAAATATGAGGAAGTTGTATTTATGTATATCCTAAACAGGTGAAATGTCCCAGCTTATAAGGTAGGTACTTAGGTCTGAAAGTTGACCCTCCACTGCAATCCGGGAGGATTTATTGTGGCCCACACCTATTCGAACTCCACCAAATAAATCCAGCTACTTAACGAAGCCCATTACTTTTTTGGTGACAGATCTTTCAGGTCAGCAGACTACAAAACCTGATCCGGTCCAGGGCAGAGTACGTACCACAAGCGCCCGAATTTTCTTGTGAATAATCCCTTTCAAGGTTAACAGGCCACGGCACATTTTACTCAATCTGGCAAGGACCTGACTGGCGGTCATACTCCGACTACCCGTTATGTATTTTAATCTATGATTCACCATGCCAGAACAAATTTCAAGTTTCTTTCCGATTACTACTCATTTATTTATCCAGAGCCCTGTAAGGTACCACAGGGCACTGTTCTAGGACCTCTACTGTTTCTTCTCATGTCAATGATCTTCCTCAACATATAAAGCGACGCTATGTCACAATGTTTGCTGATGATACAAGGATAACTATAGCGGGTAATAATGCTGAGCAACTCATCAGCAAATCAGAACACATTATTGATCAGTTCAGTATCTGGTGCTAAAGAAATAAGCTTATTCTAAGTACTTCTAAATCGATCACTGTTAACTTCCACTTCAGAAGGAATATTCCAATTGGTCGACGCTCTAGCTATGATATTTAAATTTCTGAAGAAATACAATTTTTAGAGACCTACCTAGACGCCAATCTAAATTGGGAAAAGAAGGTGGACTATATATGTGCTAAGTTAAATAGAGCATATTATGCCATAAAACAGCTGAAATCCTGTTTGGATGAAAGTGACTTACTCAGTATATATTATGCCATGGCCTACCTTCATATAAGTTTGAATATTATGGTTTGGGGCAGAGCAAGGGATTTTTACAGAGTCTTTATAGCACATAAACGCATCATAAGGCTAATCTTTAGTATGGATTTCGGGGATAGCTGCCGGCTCGTTTTTATTAAAAAAAAAATATTGAGAGACCCCTCCATCTTCATTCTTAAATGTATTTCATTCGTTGGGCAAAACCATAGATTATGTGATAAGACTGCTTCAGAACACAATCATAATGCAAGAAATGGTGATCTTCTAAAAATCACGCAGCATCTCATGACAAGCTATAAAAAATCCCCTCAGAATAATGCCATTATGTGCTTCAATAAGCTGCCAAATGTAGTTGAAAATATCACAAGTGACAAAGTATTTCATGATTGTCTTAAAACTATGCTTTTAGAAAGATGCTATTACAGTTACCAAGATTTTGAATTGACAATGTCACAAACAATCAAATTCACAGTGGACGTAATATTATTTTAGATTAAATTATGTAAATGGTGCATCATATATGCCCACTTAATTTGTGGGCATTATATGATGCTTATTTGTATATGTGTATGTGTATATATGAATATATATGTACAGTGCCTTCATTTCAAAACTTCCCACCCCTAGTACTTCGTTTAGCATGACAAACCGTGGAAAATATAATACACTACACCAACAAGAGCATACACACACACACTAGCTACATGAAACGAGAATTAAAAAAAATTAATAACTCACCGAATGTGTGTGAAAAACCGGTGAAAATGGAACTCGGCCAGCCGGTCTAACGCCGGGGTGTATACTTGTGGGGGATAGTGTAGAAGGACTGGTATTTACAGGACTCTGAAACAAACGTCGAGCAAACACTTAAGTCTCCAAAACTTTTATTTTTCGAATCAAATTTACTCACAGAACTATAGGGAGAACTATCGTGATCTTGATCAAGAGGTGCGTGGATTGGAGATGAAAAATCGACGTTCGTCAAGTCGGGCAACGAACCTGTATTATTTGCTATCGGTATTTGTACCAAACTAGGATCATGCGCTGATGGATGAATGCTGAAATAGAAATGAATGTAGAAAATAGTTGGACGACTACTGTGATTGGCCTAGAGCAGAGGTTCTCAAACTTATTTTGTCTACCCCCCACTTCGAGAATTAATTATTTTCTAGCGCCCCCCAAATTTGTTTACTTTACTACATCTCAAGAATCACAATCGCAGTCATTATTTTAATAATTAAATTATGTGTGTCATGTGAAAATAAGACTTTCTGATGAGGTTAATGTGAAACACCATTTTGTAATAATAGGAAAACTTTTATTCAGGTTATTAAAACAAACATTTCAATTTGGATTTTAAAACTAATTTAATGAGAAGGATGAATTTCATGATTTTTAACAAATTTGTTTAATATCAGGCTCGAATTTACTCAAAAACAGCCGTAAGTCACCGCGTTCGGTAATCTGCAACCGATTTCTTTTAGTTAGCAACGTTGCCACAGCACTAAATCCACGTTCAGCTGATTAAATAATCTGTCATTTAAAGAGCTGTTTCAGATTTTATTGACTGTTTTGATTATATATTGCAGTGATTGAGAGAGGCGCTCACTCAAATTTTTCGCAAACAAATGTTGCCTATGAATGATGCTATGTACAGCGAGCACGTCTGGAATTTTTATTTAAGTACGCTATGAAGCCCTTGTGACGTCCTGTCATAGCTAGAGCGCCATCCATAGCAGCTGATATAATATTCTTCAGTGGAATTTCTTTCTCATCACAAAATTTTTCCAGTGTATTATATATGGTTTCTCCTTTTGTATCCGTCTCTAAATTTCTGGCAAATGAAAGTTCTTGATATATTTTTTAAACCTCACGTATAACAACAACAATGCTCCATTGGTTGGTAAAGTGGACTCATCTAACTGAATTGAGAATTTAGAAGTCTTCAGATGATTGCACAGACTCTTCAATGTTTTCAGCCATCTCATGAATTAGTCTTTGCACGGAACTATTACTCAAAGGAATTTTTAGATAGTATCTGCCGCTGGTTTATGGAACACAGTAGTTATTACTTCTTTTATTGCCAGTAAAATTAAATCCTCAGCAATAGTGTGAGGTTTACCTGTTTGAGCAATTAGCAAGGAGATATTGTAGAAAAAAAAATCTGTTTTTCCGTTAACCAGCTGTCGCACCCCTACGAACGACAACCCTCAGAAGTCGAAACTTGTGCGAGCCAAGGATTAACGAGGTCTTGCCTTTTAACGTGTGATTCCTAACACGGGTTGGACGGTAGCAAGTGAAGATCGATCGTTCAGACTAGGGCTTGAACCACCGACCAACACAGGCAGTCAATTCGAGTGAGTGAACAAAGCACCCACGCCGAACCGCTTGGCTACTGACTGACCAAGCTTGGATTCTGTCGTCGTCTTGCTTGGAAGCCGCTAAAAAAAGTTTTGACACAGTTGGCTGAGCTGAGTGTTTCTTTTCCAGTTCTTGAAAATAAGTCACATTTTTGTCTGTTTTATCTGAATGCATTTTATTCAAACGATCTTGTAGCCGTGATGGTTTCATCGCTTCATTCGAAAATGTTTTTTGACAAAGAAGGCACATAGGCGATGATGGATATGTCGAATTTGCAATAAATCCATATTTTATATATTTCGCGCTATACTGCCGTTTCTTCTTTTTTGCTACCGACATAATTTTGTCTTCAAAAATGCCGAAGTAAAGAATAGAGTATTAAAAACTTGCTAATGACACCACCCACAGTATTTACCACCGCAAGTACAGCACTTTACCTAGCTAGTCGCTAACTAAATTAACTTGTTTTCGTAATATCGTCGAATGAGATTACTGGCTGGATGGCGCGGGCGGGCCTAGTACCTTCAAGAATGGAGACTAGAAACTTCCCGCTTCCCATTGAAGCTCACCGCCATCTATTGTACACTTTGACAGGACAGGAAGTAGTTACTGTCTAGTCCCCTAGATGGCGTAACTCGAGAAAACACACGTTAAAAGCGTAAAGGAGTGGTGAAGTTTGTGTTAAAAGCAAAGACATTTTTAAATTAGCCATCACCCCCCCCAAACCGCTTCAACGCCCCCTGTGGCCTATACTGCCCCCCTAAAGGCCTCCAGCGCCTACCATGGGGCGTTATCGCCAACTTTGAGAAAGACTAGCCTAGATATTGCACAGTGTGGTTAAGTCATAGCAGATGAATTATTCCTCCCGGAACTGTGCTGATTGAAAGAAATTATGTTTCCGGGAAATTCACTGCCCTAACATTACAGCTCATCTCGAATAGTTTGCCAATTTGTTTTCCTGGTATTGATTTTGAAAACTTTATGCAGTACATTCGAAAATTTCAAACTTATAATCATTACAATGATCACCTACCTAATTCCAGGAACTCGAGAAGGTATGTCGCAACTAGATCTCGGTCTTCCCTCTTGACCCCTATCCGGACCGTTCACCATCGACATGTTCCAAGCTCTGTGCGAAGGATCAGCATTTCTATCCACCATCCCCTGAAGCAAGACTTTCTTAATGAACATGGAAAACATACAAAGTAACTTAATTTTAAAAACCTGTCCTTTAATGTATNTAAAAAAAAGATGAAGATAAAAAAAATTACATATATGATAACTCGTAGCAATACCGGTGATAAACTCGGTCAAGTGTTATGAATTTTTTTACCAAGTTCTTATGTTTCACCTCTATAATAGGTCGTCATCATAAAATTGATGTTGTTTGTGTTACAGTTATATAACTCAAAATAAGTTCGCAATTAACAAGTTTCTTATGAAGAGGCTCAGATGAATAAAGAGTACATTGAAACGACTTTCATTATACTGGACATCGTATGTCACACAGAAAGTTAATCTATCTATTCCCGGACTTATTTTCAATAAAACATTTTTTCACCCCCGAGAAGTGGAGGTATCCGCCCCAAGGGTAAAATCAACCCCCGATAGAGTCAACTTTGAAGTAGAGAGTAAGTAGAACCTAAATCCAAACCTTCATTAACATCGGGGCTGCCTGGCAAAATGATCATTGACTGGACAAAGGTGACAATTTCTGAAATATCCGGAGAAACTTTCGTTAATTTTGAATAATCATTATAGTCTAGTCATCGAGAATTTACTTAGGCTAAAAATTAGAAAGCTCCATTAATCATTGACATATTTTTTTTCCACGTAACTATCTATCCGTTTTTTCACGATCAGAAGCTACATGGAAATTATTTAAAAAAATGTTATAGCTTCGCATTAGTTTCTAGTTTTAATCTACCTCTTTGAAGATGATCACTTGGTGATCGAAACACATGTCGAGGTGTTGAACATAACGATTTGGTGTTGGGAAAAAACTCCAGTAATAAACATACACAAAGTAAAGGTACAAAAATTCACTACAGAGCTAAGCAAGTCATGAAAATAAGGCAAATGCAATTGCAATTAATTGTAATACACCGTTATGAAAAAATGTAACTAGATACAAGAAAGTGGAAAATGAAAATAAATAAAAGAATTCATCACAAAGCTAAGGAAGTCATGAAAATAAAGCAAATGCAATCCGTTATGATACTAGATACTAAAGTAGAAAATGAAAATAAATAAAAAGTGGAGAGATTCCAAGTCACGTTAGTTCACGACGTTTCGATTGTTAGTATCTACAATTCCAACAGCAACTATGTCCTCCGTT